AAAACACATGGAAAGCTCAAAAACGAAAGTCCAAAAGCTGCTACAGGTGTTTTATATTTAATAAGTTTTCTGTGGGTGTGTGCAGCTTCCCTCACTAGTGATTTGCGATACCACTGATTTCCTTTCCGATCCGATACGAGTAAAATTCACGGTAGTATCGACGATACTGATCCAATACCGATACTCTGTACAAAAACTTAATGTTTCATTGTATTTCATAATACAATATATAATTGTATTATGGTAAATGGCCTCTATTTGTATAGCGCTTTACTTAGTCCCTAAGGACCCCAAAGTGCTTTACAATACATTCAGTCATCCACACATTCACACACAGGTGATGGCAAGCTACATTGTAGCCACAGCTGCCCTGGGGCGCACTGACAGAGGCGAGGTTGCCGGACACTGACCACCACCAGTAGGCAACAGGTAAATGTCTTGCCCAAGGCCACAATGGCTGAGACTGTCCGAGCCGGGGATCTGACCGGCAACCTTCCGATTACAAGACGAACTGCCAACTCTTGAGCCACGATCGCTGTATTATGTACATATTATCTAATTGTAGTTCCTTCCAATTTAGATGATCCGAATGATATAGTTTCTTTCCACGGTGTTCCTGTTAATGAAAAACTACAAATTTACCCCAAAGTACTAAAATATCGATATTTTAATATGAGAATCGATTCTAGAACATAAATTACTGGCATCAGAAGAATCGATATTTCAGTATCGATCCACACACCACTATCCCTCACAGTTGTACCGACGTGTGGGAAGTGGAAGAGGAGGACACTAGCATTGAATTTCTCGAAACCTGTCACCCCACCTCGAACACATATGATAGGCTGCTTTTGTCTTTGCAAACAACAGGCACGATTAGAGTGTCCAGCTTCAGAGGGCTAGGAAATAAATGAGTCTGTTTTTTGCTAAATCATCATTGCTGTCATCTCTGTCCTACCCTTTTCTGATTACATCACAGGAACATTTAGTTTTTGTTGTTTTATTTCCCACAGAGTAGGACTCTAAGTTAGGAGAGAAAGATGCCTTTACAACAACAGCGGTTAGTTTCGAGCTTAGTTTAGTTTAGAAGTCAAATGAATCATCAGGCATAAAGCACACTTCTTTTATAAATTTCACAATCAACAGAGATAAGAGAGAAAAGCATCCAGAGGCAAAGCGTCACCGCCTTGGATCCTGATTGTGCATTGCCTGTTATGTTGAGAAGATGAGGGTGAGAAGCTTTAAGGTTTTCATGCATTTATTCAACAGTCTGCACAAGAATATTCGTTCTTTCTATTGGACCGAGGTGAGAAACAACCCATACTTATGTCAAGCAGCATCATGATCCAATAAAAGAATGATTCACATAAATCCATGAGTATGGGTTATAGGTAACAATTTTCAGGGGTTTCACTATCACGCACGCTATGATATGGTACTACATTATTGAAGGTCACATTACCTCATGATCGGTAATTTGGTGATGGGAATGGTCATTTGAGGGCTTTTAATGATATGTTTGAACTGTTCTCTTTCTAGAGTGGAATGATTGTCCAGTGTACATATTCAATGATTTTGACAAACAGACAATTAAAAAGATAAGACACACTAGCAAAAGATAAGAAGAGAACATGAGCAGATTTCAGTCTCATGTTTTAACTGTATTTTTTCACAGCAAGGCTAATGACATTTGAATGATTGTTTCTTGAGCTCTGATAACCTTGTGTATTGTTGTTAATGAACTCTTCTTCCTTTGGCAGCTTCCTTTAGGGGTTGTATGGCTCCATCCCACCATATCCACACCATCCTTTGTGATCATTTTCATGTGCTAAGAGCTTTGTGTTCATCCATTCAAACCATCCAGCCTCGTCTCTCTTAACTTTGTTTCCAAATTCACTCCACCTGAACTGCTCCTCTGATACATCCATTTCTTCTTTCTTATTCTAATCATAAAATATTACAGAACATTAACATCTAAACCCCCTAAAACATTGAACAGAAAGCTAAAAACCAAGGGTCCAAGACTCAGGGAGCAATTCTTTGCCTCCCTTTCTTCCCTCGTTTTCTGTTAATAATGACACGCCTGAAGTATCATTTGACCTCTAAACGAAGCTGATTATCCACAACAAGTGTGTTCTTAACCACTGTTGTTGTAAAAGCATCTATCTGTTCTGACTGTGAGTCCTACCATGGAGAAAAAAACCCCCTATATGTTCCTTATAAAGTGGTCAAAAAGGGTAGGACAGAGACTTCAGCAATGGTGATTTAGCAAAAACCTACTTGTAACTGTCATTGTCATGATGACCCTGAAACCCGACACTCCTAGCACTGCTTATTGTTTGCAAAGACAAAAGCAACCCATTGTATGTGCGAGAGGTGAGGTGATAGGTTTGGACAAATTCAACGCTAGTGTCCTCCTCCTCTCACACGCCTGTACACCTGTGAGGAAAACTTCACGGGCAAGTACGCACACTTTTTCATTTTGTTTGATTAATTTTTTTGCTTTAAATTCAGTTTCAGTTAGTTTCCAGATGCGATTCTCTTATTTCACTTTTGTTTTTAATAGTTTGAAACTGTTTGGTATTATTTTAGTTTTTATTGGTCTTAATCTTTTTAATTATTATTATATGGAGGGAGTAAGTCAGTGACAATATTTAGGAAAATGTGTACAGGTGTTATAATAAAAAAGCAGTAAACTCCCAGTGGTGTGGACACCCAGAATCTCAAAAAAGTTCTGATAACAATTTTTTTTTTTTTACCAAACTAACATAAACTATATTTTAGCTAATTGTTATTTATAGCTAATCTTAGAAAGACTGTTCAGTACAGAAATTAAGCCCAACAATCATGTTTTACAGTCCTGTGGTCTCAGCCTCAGATACTTACCAAATCAAAGCTCATGTGAAAACAAACAAATGAACAAAAGATTTTCTCCTTCATTTCTGTCAAACAAAGCTGTATGAAACGTTTCCAGCGGTTGGTGTCATGGTTGCTAGGGAACCTGGGCAGCGTGATGGAGGCCAGACTGTCCCATTTCACAAGCCTCAAACTTCTGGCCTTAGCGGTCTTTGAGTACGCGGCCCTTGTGGACCGTTAAGGCTGCGTACTTTAAGGCTGCAGACCCTGAATTGGGATACAGCCATATAATACTGATGACCAGTGGCGGTCCTAGCCTGTTTGGCGCACACACACACACACGCGCGCACACATAAAACATATTAAGGATTGTACATTAACATAAAACTGTTGTCGGAACTAATTAATATTAAAATCTGTAACATAATGTTTGGAGTTTTGTCTGTTACTGTTACTATTTTTACCATTTCTTTTTGGAGCAACTGTAATCCACATTATTTCCTTAGGGATTAATAAAGTACATCTGCTTACCTGTATCTTTTGCTCGTTTCTCCTCTTCTTTTCTATTTTTTTCTAAAACTGAGCACCTGATGGCTTTGAACTTTTCTTGTCCATCTTCCATTGGTTTTAATTTTGCACTCCAGTATGAAGACAAATCCCCCATATCGAGGATCGCCACAACATAACCTAATAGACCTACACCTTAGTTCACAGATTCACTTTGTTTAAGGTGTATTTCTGGGATTTCGCACAACCCAGGATTCAAATCATGAATACACAATAGGCTTGGATTTCAAACATTATGAATGAAATGTGCTCTATTTGGAAGCAGCCAGCCTCCCTCCCGTTTTGACGGGTTGTGTGTGAGACTTTAAATCATCAAACTGTAAATTATAAATTTTAAATTGTTATTGATCCCTTTACCCCTAGTCCTAAAGTGTATATTTATTTTCTTACTCTTCTTATATTTATTGTTTGTTTACTTGCACTGCTGTAACTGGAGCCTCGTCGTGTCGTCTCTCTATATACTGGACTGTATGTAGCGGAGATGACAATAAAGTTTACTTTGACTTCAGCAGCAAGCAGGCGCACAGAGGACTCGCGCTCACTTTTCGCATATAGAATTTGTAGAAAAAACATCGGTGCAAATTATAAGTCTGTATCATGATGTCTGGTGTTTTCGTGTTTGTTGTTTTGTTTTTATTTTGTTTTATTTTGCGAGTTGGTTATTAGATGCCGGCGTTTTAGGCTAATAGTTAGGCTAACAGACTTACCTCTCATCTTTTCTTTCCTCACAAAACCGATAGATCCTCCACTTCTTTTAAGTGTCACCCAGCACAATTCTTAGCATATTTTGGTTCCTGCAAATGGTCTGTCGGGTTATTGTCTCCCCAGGAACACTTCCCTTGTGCTTTTGGGAATCTGTTCTTTCCTATTTCTGTTTTCGTTTTTCCGATTTCCATTGTGTTTTGTGCCTTTGCAGTGTTTTTCTTATCGCTGGTGTTTTCTTAAGTTGCAGTCTGTTTGGCCTCTCAGGGCCACCGTATCATCATCATCATCATCATCATCAACTCTCACCACATGACAGCTGTGATTGAACTAAAACTGGGTTATGACTTTTACATTTAAGGAATAGAAACTAATTTTCAAACCTTTATGCTTTGCCTCTTTCCATGTAGCTAATAATAGGGCACATGGCTGTACACAAGCCTGAAAACCATGCACGGCATGCTGCAGATCATTTCTGATTAAATGCCCTCCCTCCCCCCACCCTGGTGTGCCACCCCACTGACGACAGCCCAGTAACGCCCCTGCTCCTTGCTATTCTACCAAGTAAAACCTGCAAAAGCGGTTCTGCAGGTATCTATCCTCTGGTACACAGGTGTTCGTACTGATCCTTCGTTAGTCAGCGCTAATCTTTTTTTTTTTCATGGCGTAACTGTGCGGTCTGTTCCTCCCGTATACGGACTGTATACGCTATACGTGCTGTGCAGCCGATTGTCAATCCCTTTATTGTTCCTCCTCGGTTACGGTTGGCTGAGGGAGGAGCTCGCGGGACCGGCTGGCTGTCACGCGGGGGGTGTTCATCTGACAGTCTGGCATTCTCCTCCGTGCTGCTCAGCTGCAAAGAAACAGGTGAGTGCAGCCTCACGGGGCTCGCTGTTTCTTTCTTTAAACCAGCTAGCTGTATTTTTATTGTATACGTGGAAATAATGCGTAGTTTCTGCACGCGGAGATTTCGATATCGCTGTAAGCTAGATGTAAATCACAGTCTATAGCGGGGGTGTCAAACATAGGGCACGGGGGCCAAAATCTGACGGCAAAGACTCCGATGTCATACCAAAAAGTGATTTTTGCTATTTACATGTTTGTTATTTGTTTTGTTTTTTCGTTGTTTAAATATTGTTTATACAGCTAAACAGGTATTGTGATATATGAAATAAAGAGGTGGCCAGTTTTTGCAAGCATCATTATGACTCTGCTTTATTGTCCCCACTCCGTGTTTGACATTGTTATCAGCCCAGTCTATTTTATTTCTTAAAATATCTCTACAGAACTTTTATGTTTTGCCGCCAGCTTGTCCAAGTCTCTCTTGAGACTGTTTACCTGGATAAATAAAGATGTATAAAAGTCACAACAGGCAACAACTGATTGCAGCTTCTGAATTTTTAATCTCATTGTGTCTTGACATCATTTATGTTTAACAGATTATCAACAAATCGTATACAAAAGTTTTTTTGTATAAGTTTTACAGCTTTTCCTGCTGATAAAGACCTTTCCCCCTTGGCTGTTCATTATGGCGCCATTAATAAAAATAATACTAATAATAATTATAATGACAAATAATAAGTTAAAAAGTTCTAGTTAAACAATTAAATGACAGCAAAATTCCTGTTTTTTCTCTCTCTACAGCAGGATTTCATTGTCATGTAGAAAACCTGAGATGTACTGTTGGAATTGCACTTCTTTTCCTCAATTTATTTCAGGAATTAAATGCGTAGTTAAACTTTGTTACACTAAAAAAAAAAGGGCGATAAACCCTTAATTCTGATTTATACAGGCTGATAGACTACTTCAGTCATTTTGGCTGTAAAACTAAAAAAAAATATCACTGAGGAGTTACTATAATGTGAAGTGCACATGGTAAAATCTATGCAGCGCTGATTTCACCATGTGCTGATCAGGCAGCAGTGCCTTGCGACTGTCTTGTGTTACAATGACACACCGAATGTCCCCGTAAAGCTCGTCTTTTTTCTGAAATGGTTTGAATTTTGTCTGTAGCATGAAGGGTAATAAGGTTAAAGAGAGCATGTAAAGAAAAGGTTAAGATGTGAGCCATGATGTAAAATTAGTTTGGCATCATTGACCTATTGTGTGTGTGAATGTGTGTGTGAATGGGTGGATGACTGGATATGTAAAGCCCTTAGGGACTAGTAAAGCTCTATATAAATACAGGCCATTTACCATTTATTAGTCTTAGTGTTAGCCTAAAGTTTTGGCCTTCTTATATATAAATAATGATGCTTGTTTACTTCATTTGAACCCTTGTTATACTAATAGGCTGCTGTACAGCTCAGTCTGTATATGATCTTCATCGATTCTGCAGAACGAGGCAGAAAGTGTTTTCTGTACCCAACATATATTTTTTTTCTGCATTTGCTCTCTTACCTTCTGTTAATTAGAAACATAGGTGAGCTGTGATTAATGTTTAATATTTAATTACCAAGAAGCGTTTCAGTTGAAATGTAGAAGTATTTGCAATGAAAATGTTTCACAGCAGCTAAATCTATTCATGCGTGGTTATTCTGGCCGTATCCTGCATGTTGTCTGTTTTCTACTAAGCTGGTTTGTAGCTGACTTTGGTCTAGACACGCATTATCATAAATCTTGGCAGTCTGCGGGCCCACCCAGTCATTCTAACAGCAAACATGTTTACTTAGGGTGGTTAACATATTGCAGGATGAATCAGTGCCAAGAAACTGGTCAAACGGAGACCCAGGAGGAGGTGACGGAACTGGTGTGTCAGGAGGCTGATCTCAAAGATGGACAGTAAGTCACAATGCAATTCACCACATCTGCTTGTGATACCTTTGCAAACAGGAAACCAGGTCAAAAGTTCAAAATCAGTGCAGAGGGATCAGAGAAGCAGCGGTCATATACGACACAGCGAAAAATCTAAGAAAAACAAACACTGGGAGCAAAGACCTGATCTGTCACCCAGGGAAGCATGGTATCTTATTCCAACGTTTCTTAACGAAACGGTGAATGTAATTGAAAGGATATATTTGAACCCAAGATGTTATATTTTCCTAAACCAAACCAAGTGGCCGAAGTAAATGAAATAGTTTAAAGGATAAGAAAGCTCTTTGGTAGAAAGCCCTGAAGCCAGCCCTTTGCTGCTAATCTTAAAAGATGTGCAGATCAACCTTCGGGTGGCACAGTAATTGTGTGATCCACTACTTAGCAAATTAATTAGCGATATGTGGTATTTACAAGCTGTTGGGAAAGAGCACAAAGACAGGGAGTTTAAAAAAACAGAGGGACGTTAGAAACAACATCAAAATAAAAGAGGAAAATGGTAAAAAAACAAAGGTTTTTATAATGATTTCTTCTTTTGCTCCTTTTGTGTTCATGCAGAATGAAAGAAGTAACTGTGGGGGATCAGAAGGTGCTGCTAGTCCGCAGCGAGGGTCAGTACAGCGCGGTTGGAGGCAGGTGCTCTCATTACGGTGCACCTCTGATCAAGGGTAAGGACTTAAGTTAGGTCTCGGCTATTTATCTTTCTCGCTTTCTTTCACTTTCTAAGTTGCACGCTCTGTGTTAATTCAGGGACACTGGTTGGTGACAGAGTGAGATGTCCTTTTCATGGTGCGTGCTTCAATGTCAGGAATGGAGATATTGAGGATTATCCAGGTCTGGACAGTCTGCCCTGCTACAAGGTGAAATGGCACTTATCACAAGTTCATCCAGGATTTTCTTTGTCATGATTCTGGTTTTCTGCTCAGTCACTTCCTGTATTGTGAAATATTTTCTGTTGGCTTTTTTTTTTTCTCTTTAAAGCCCTCCTTCTGCCACACCTGTATTCAAGTCGTCTCTGCAGTGTATATGCAAACACCTCCTGCCTAACACTGCCATGTTGTCAGATATTCTTGGTCAAAGGCTTTAAAGAAGTTTGCGAGTGGTATTGTTTGTTTCATCCCTCACTTTTTGTTTACACCTACCTCAATTCAACAGCTGGATTTTTGGATTTGACCTCTGATTCTGTGGCTTCCTGCATTTGGGTCATTTTCTCCATTGTTTATTACATTTTCTCACAAATTGATGGATTCATTTTGTAGCTCACCTGCCCAAAGAGTCGATCAGCTTATGCCATGGTGAGGTGTCCCTCATTCATCTGTCCCATCTCGCTTCACCAGAATCACTACACCTACAGTTTTGGTCAAAAATTGGATCACTGTGATCACCTAATGCGTCTTCACTCAGATTGTGTTCAAGTTCAAGGTCATACATGTTACTTTTACAGGCAGTAACGTGTGTCTTGTGATCGCTCATGAGACGATTTGACTAATATACCGTTGAAGTTCTGGTTCCAGTTTAATGTAATTGTATAAAGAATAAAGATATATTAAAGGAGTTTAAATTAATTAAGGGCTCAGATCATTTTAACAATATTTATATTTATATTTGAGCTTATGAAAAACATTTAGGAGAGGCTGTAGTTCTTTTGCATCTGAGCTTCTCAAACAGGGAACGTTTGATCAAAAAAAGGCAAAAATAATGTATGAAAAGGGCTTTTCTTTCTAAACCTATACACATCTGGTTCTGTTATCCTATCTCATTATGGTTCAGCAAACTTTCTGCCTATTAAAAATGTTTTCAGGGAAACTATTCTGTTCACCTACAGTCAGGCAACAATCATAAATGTGGTTTCATTTAACAGGTCAAAGTTGAAGACGGCAAGGTGTACGTTTCAATCAACAAAAAAGTAAGGCAGATCAGGTATAAGACGATTAAAATGAACCAAAGTGCACTTTTATGTTGTGTTACAATGCACTGTGTGTTTGTCTCAGTCTCTGACCGTAACCAAACGGGTGAAAGAGATGTGCAGTGTGGTGCCGGACGTCAAACATACTATTCTGCTCATAGGAGGAGGTGAGAACTTTGTAATGAATATGAGATGGAAATATTCATCAGTCCTTTTTAACCGACAGGCAGGTTTAAGGCATGGCAGCTTTTTGTACTATTTAAAGTATTCAGGCAAAAGTGAAGACAGAGACTAGGAGGTATAAAAATAAAAAAAAATCACAGTCCTGAACATAGAAACTGTAATTTCAGGCCCCGCCTCTCTGGTCTGCACTGAGACGCTTCGGCAAAATTGCTACCAGGGTCGCATCATCATCATAACTAAAGACTCCGTGCCTCCATTTGATAAACCCAAACTGAGCAAGGTAAGCACCAGGATAAGGGGGTAGATGCCCATGTGTTTGTATTTCTGCCTTTTGATTTGTGTTTTTCTCTCTGAGTGGTTTTAGTGAGTGGCATTCCTTCTTTCAGGCTCTGAATGTGGAGAGCAGCAGCATCCTTCTCCGGCCAGATGACTTTTATCAACGATACGGGATGGAGATGTGGACAAAGAAAGAGGTTAGAATATATTTTTGATGCACTCTCGCCAAGTTTTGGAAATCAATCTTCTCTTGGGGAATAGTAAGATCTGCGGGCCTTAAGAGGGTCTGCTGTTTGGTAATCGGTGTAGTATTAATAGCAGTTTTATTTATTTAGTATATTTAATTATGCTCAGACTCAACGTGCTTAGCACAGAAGATAAAAACATAAATGCCTGTGTAGGTTTACAATAAAAACAGCAAAATAAAACTAAAATACAAGCAAACATACACATGCACACCCACACACACTTAGTCCAGTTTCTTGGCCTGTGAGAGAAGAAAGGTTTTTAAGTCTGTTTCTGAATGTAGACACAGCTGGAACTGACCTCGGGTCAGTAACTGAAAGTACCCTCAGCACGCTTGGATCTAATTCTGGAGATGGTAAAATGGTAAATGGACAAGTTCTTGTATAGCACTTTTCTACTTGAGCAGGATTTTAAATGTAATTGTGTTTTGAGCTGGGAGCCAGTGAAGTGACTTGACTACAGGGGTATGTTTTTGTGTATGTGTAAGGTTTGTGCGTTGCTTTGCAGGTGGTGTCAGTAAATCCAGCCAAGAAGGAAGTGAAAATGAGTGATGGCACTCTGCAGCGTTACGACCAGCTCCTCATCGCAACAGGCTGCAGGTGAGACCGTCTTTAATGAGCAAAAGCAAACGTACATTGTATGTGTCACAACATGTCACAAGTTGTGGTCCCTTTTTAAAATTTTATTTTTTTTTGTTCACAGGGCACGGCCGCTCACCTGTCCTGGTTCAGACCTGGAAGGAGTAAAGTTACTGCAGAGTTACGAAGACGCCAAAGACATTTACAGCTCCAGCCTTGGCCAGAAAGTAGTTGTTACCGGAGCGTCTTTCATAGGTTATTAAATAAGGTTTCTTTTTTTATGTTAAAGAATGAGACATCTTTCATCTTTTTGCCCATCGGGGTTGACGTGACGCTCTTTGCTCATAGATATCTGACAGCTATGGCACACAAATGTGCACGTCGCTGATGAGCTTTTCATTTGCATATTAGGTATGGAGGTGGCGTCCTACTTTTCAGACAAAGCTGCCAGTGTGGCTATGGTTGGCACTACTCAATACCCGTTTGAGCGCACTCTGGGGTCAGAGATCGGCCAGCTGAGTATGCAAGTGCGCGACTATGATGACAACAGTTTTCAGTGCTACTCTTTTGGATTTTTTTTAATTAACATAATTAAAACACAGTTTTTCACTTTCAGATGTTGGAAGAAAAAAATGTGAAGTTCCACATGAACGATCGAGTCACCGAGATCAGAGGAGAGAATGGGAAGGTATCTCTGCCTGCCATTATTTTCATGACGGACGGTTTGGTTAATGATTGTAGAACAGGAATACATGTCACCCGCAGCATTAGTAACAAAGATCAAACATCAACCCTCATGGTATCGCTTGTAAAATAACCCATTATCTCTGAAGTCTAATATATTCTGCTTAAACAGCCATAACTGATGTTTTTTTGGGGGGGGATTTTCAGGTGAAGCAGGTGGTGTTGAAGAGTGGTGTAGTCCTGGAGGCTGATGTTGTGATTGCTGGCATTGGTAGTTATTTTTCTACTTCAGTGTTTAGGTCTGCCTGAAATGCAAATCAAGTTTGGGAGTGTTTGAGTGTGGAGACGTTTGGATGTGTGGTGTTTGCTAACATTGCTTTATGAGTGATGAAACTTCCTGTGTAGTTCCACCAATATCAGAGTCAAATATATGTTTTTCAGGTGTAATCCCCAATTCAGACTTACTGGCAGGAAGCGAGGTGGAAGTGGATTCAAGGAAAGCTGTGATTGTTGACAAGGTAACGCAGCCTGTAGAGGGCACAGCCGAACTTATGCTGATATAACTAAAGCATGGCACCCAGAGGTGTCTACGTTTCTTTAACTGTTACCGTAAGCTTTGATGGTGAGCCAGCATCGTCAATATGAGTACACTTTTGCTTTTCCTACATTAAAAAAATTAAAACTTTTGCTTCGAAAAAGGTCTCTTTCTTACATTATCTGCACATCTGATGACCGCTAACCAAAATAAACCTGTCAAATCAACAGTCTGGTTCATTCTTACAAAGAATGAATCTAAGTTCATGATCATAGTAATGTTTCCTCAGTTTAAAATAAATAAATAAAACAGCATCTAACAGAGTCATAAACACTCTCAAGGAGGCGAAAGTGTTATTTTCAAAGTCTACAATCAAGAGACAGCGTCATGAATGTAAATGGAGAGAGTTTACATCAAGGTGCAAACTACTGATTTCACTCAAGGACATGGAAGGCCAGATTAGACGTTGCCTGAAAACATACAGAGGCAAAAACTAAAAAAAATATAGCCCTAACTGTGTGCCCTGATGAATGGAGGGAATAGCTGCACGTATGTATTTTACACGTCTTATGTTGAGGTTCTTGCTGTAGCCTTTATTCATCTATTCTAACAGTTCATGAGGACCAACGTACCAGATATTTTTGCCGCTGGAGATGTTACCTCTTTCCCTCTGACCATTCGAGGCGACCAGAGGGTCAGCATTGGTCACTGGCAAATGTCACACGCTCACGGTGAGAGGCTAAAGGACTGTGTTTTTCATTCAGTCGAAAACTTATAATGGGTGATTTAATGCCGAGTTAAACCTTATCATTGTCTTTTGTACCAGGAAGAGTAGCAGCTCTGAATATGCTGAAGAAATCCACAAAAATCGAGTCTGTTCCTTTCTTCTGGACTGTTTTGCTTGGGAAGAGTATCCGATACGCCGGTGGAGTGTTGACTTCTAAATGTCACCTTTAAAATGTAATTTTTTTTTAAGATGAGGCTGTGTTAAATCTTTGTTCCTCCTCTCATTTCCTCTTCCTAGGCTATGGGGAAGGATACACAGAAATTATATTCAAAGGCAAAATGGAAGAAAGGAAATTTCTGGCTTTCTACATAAAGTGAGTGCAGAGTTAGCCCTGAACAGCTGACCATAAGCTCGTCCTCTGTGTGTAAAGTTTCTCACGTTACCCTTTTTTTTTTTTTTTTTTTTTTGGACAGGGATGATGTGGTGGTGGCAGCGGCCAGCCTGATGTTCGATCCTGCCGTGGCTCGCATCGCAGAGCTGATGGCTAGAGGCCAAATCTTAACAAAAGCACAGGCTCAGTGAGTGCTGTCCTGCATTTATACAAGTTAGACTGTAAAATATACAAAAATGTTTAGTTCCTCAACTGTAATATTGGTTACATTTGTTGTTGGTTTCTTCCTGTTAAAAGGGAGTTTTTCCTTCCCACAGTTACCAAGTGCTTGCTTGTCGGGAGTTGTCTGACTGTTGGGGTTTTCTCTGTATGATTGTAGGGTCTTACCAAAAAAAGCACCTTTAGGTGATATATATAT